CAAACAGTTATACTTACTCTATCTGTATTTTCATAAATTAAGAGTCCTATACTTAGTTCTTGTACAGTATAAAGTTCCTGGCACACAGTAGGCCAAACAGTTTCTGAATGGAGTGTTGCTTTATTAACAATCTCACTTGCATGGTTGGCAAGGTTTTAAATCAAAGGTCTCAGCAGCCAAGATAAGGTTAAGCCAAATATAATATATTCCCTTAACCATGTAAGATGCTACCAGAACCAAAGCTACAAGTTTTGGGAACACCTGTGCTCAAGAGAAGCCTGTCCATTTGACCAAAAGAAGCAATCGTTATTAAAAATGAGCATCACACCAGCATTTGTGCAGAACAAAGACAGGGAAAAGCAATGATGTCAAGTCATTCCTATGAAATTCAATGTCAAGACAGTACACAAAATGAAGTTTGGATGAGATCAGCAGTCAGCAATAAATGTAGAAATGATTTAGCCCATATTCAAATACAAAAGAAAAAAAAACTTTGAAAAAGCCAGTAAGAATAGAAATCAGTTGATAGATCAACAGCCTTAACATGATATTTCATGAGGTTCTAGAATCACATAGTACATTTGTCAAAGAAAATTATTTAAAAATTACAAAAACAAAAACAAAAATGAAAAATTATAGCTGTACTCCAAGGACAATTTATACCGACACAAAGTGACTTAATATAACTAGACATGCTCATCTTTAAATAGCAAATAAAAGTGTGCTTTAAAATAAAATACTTGTGTTTGTTGCTTTAACAGACATCTCTGCACTAAACCACTGATTTCTACTGTTAGATAGGGTAGTACTATTTCTATGTAGAATAAAGAACTGCAAGGGAGACAAATCAAAAAAGCACCTAAAAAGACAGGGGTCATCCTTAAAAATTTCTTTCTAGATACCCCTCTAGCAATTTGAAAGAACCATGTGTTGACAGCTGGGAAACTACTGCAAGACAGTTTAAATGCCCTTTTCAAATTCCAGTTTGTCTTGCAACATGAACTCAAGATAATAAATCAGCATTTGCTTACAAATATTCTATAAGTGATATTTCATTCATCCTCTGGTTAATCAGAACTTTCAAAAATGGTACCACTGTACCATCTGCTTTTTTTTTCAAATGGGCTGGACAGTTGGGGAGAAGAGGAGATAATACTGAGTTAGTTTCAGAGTGAACAATACTTAGTACTGAGTCTGATTGAGCCTAACTTGATACTTCCGATTAAATGGTAAGCTTCTATTCTAGGAATTTTTTTTTTGTAGAATTACACACATAACACAATACTGACTGCTAGGAGCTAAAGTCACTTCATTAACTGAAATTAACTTTTGGGAGATATGCAAATGGATACAGAGCTTAGGAGCAAGAAAATGGAAGATGTTTCTAGATACCTAGGGAGTTTTCACACCGTGCAGTCACACTAGATAAAAATTAGTGACGCTAAACGGGCTCTCTATGGTTGTAAGAAACAAAAAAAACAAAAACAAAAACAAAAATAAAACTGTCATTACACAAGCAGGAAGCTGGTGACATGGAAAGCAGTGCGTGTCCATGACTCACCAGGGAATTCCTCCTTGAGGTTGGGGAAATTGACATTTGTGTAGAGAACCGGAGCCACTGTCGCCATCTCACCCAGGGCCTCCTCCTTCTCCCACTTGAGTGTACTTCGCTGGGCGTTTGACATTGTATCGCTTTCTCCCTCCACGGTGGGAGCCGATGAGGTCCAAGAGCTGGTAGGGTCACTTGCCATTGGATTAAATGCTGGGTTTTTATCCCTGGCAAATAATAAACAACTTTACTTCATAAGCAGAAAATAACTTTCAAAATACTATGGTCAAGTACAATTTCATTAAACTTATTATTACAAAGTAACGATGATTTCTTACTCAAGATTCCAATAAATGTTAACTACTAACACTGTGCACAATAACTTAGACTAATTAACATTTAGATAACAAAAATGATTTCAGTTTCCATAGAAAGGGAAGGCTTTAAAATACCTGGCATCAGTGTAGGGGGACTGTGCTATGGCAGAGAAAGCTCCCAATCCACTTCCAGGAGGCAAAGAATTATGAGGGAGATGAGGACTGGGTCCAATAAGGCCATTCATGAGTGGCATCCGAGAAAAAACATCTTGAAAGAGGAAAACAATAATTCAGTTTGCATATTACAAAAAATAATTTTAAAGTAACAGAAATATTTCTGAAGAAAAATTGTAAAATGACTTAAAGGTAGGATTTCCCCCACAATATTATACTATAAAATGTTTAAAGAGTGAGTTCGAGTTATAAAATTTTGAAACCTGGTCTCTGTGATTCTGTTTACTTCGTAATGGTATACTGCAAGTAGCATGTGTGTTGTGGTCTGGCAGCCCTGGGCTTGAATCTTAATTCTGCTACTTGCCAGAAGCAGAACAATCACTATTTCTATAAAACGAAGGTGTCCTGTAACGTAACTGGCATGCTGTGTGTTCCCAGCAAGCGTGCAGTACAGACTAACTCTACAAAAAGAATGAGTCTCAACAAACGCTAGTAAGTTTTATCAAATACTCTTTCTCTTCTTCAATCAAAATTTACAAACAGATGCTTCTTATATAAAAAACCACCCATTATTCTTAAATCGGTACTTTCTCTAAAGTGGTTTGGAACAACAAGCGGTATTCCATCTACCATCATCAGTTAGGGGAATACTGCTAAAGACACATCCACTCTGACTGTGACCTCGCTTGCATTACTTGCAGTTTCAGCCCCAACTACACTGTAATTCTCACTGCAGCTTATTCACAAGCTCCAAATACCTTTTCATCTTCTTTCTAAACAAACATTATTAAGCAAACCATAATAAGACCAACTTGTGTTTCCCTGTAACTCTCCTCAAGCTTGTAACTCCAACCCTTATGGTGACTTCCTACTCTTCTAAACTACTTGGAAATAAGCCAACCGACCTTATCCAAGCAGTGTTTTTTTGTTGTTGTTTTGTTTTGTTTTTTGGGGGGGGGAGTGGAGGAGGGATGACTTTTTTCTGTGTATCTTCAAAAACTGTCTCTATAAACTCATTGTGGTAATCATTTTATGATGAACATCAAATCATTACACTGTACATCTGAAACTGACACAGTGTTGTATGTCCATTGTATCTCAATAAAACTGGGAGAAAAGCCTTCCAACTCAGCAAGTAATAAATACATGGCCTCTACTGTTACAACACTCGGAACAATATTAGGAGATCTACATCACCAATAAATTACACAAATGAAACACAGTTGCAGAGTTGGTTAATACTTGGCATACCTGGTGGAATGATGGAGAACTCCTAGTCTGGCCACATGCCACCCAATTAGGAAAAAGAGTAACGAAGAGAGTGTCTTGCTCACAGAACGTTCCACGTTGTACAATGTCTTTCAGCTAAACCAGACCCTCTATTACAACTAACTCTCCAGTTCCTGTCCGAGGACACTGGGCCGACTGCCTGCAAGTTCTCAGGCTTTTGTCTCAAGGACAATGGTCCTGGAGCCATTCCAGGCTGAAGCCTGCCCTGCGAAGTGGCAGAACTGGCCCGCTGGATCTGAGCTCCACAAGGAGCGTCTCAGGACACTTCAGCTCACTCCAGGGATTAGAGTAAGGAGCAAGATCTCTGCATTTATTCCAAGCAGAATGCTACCTTTCTTTCCAACTTCAGTGAAAAGCAGGTTCCATTAAGGAATATGAGACTTTACTGAAAACTATCAAATGTCACTAGGAAACACAGAAGCTTCCTTACTGGTAAGCAGAACGTGGCCCGGCCTGCAGCTCTCTCTCAGCGCCGACGACTGTAACCGCGATGCAACCACACTGCAATCTTACCCCAGAATAACAGCCAGCACCGACCAGCACTTTCCCGAACGCCCAGCACTGTTCTAAAGGCCTTACATGTGTGAATTAACCCTCTGGTCCTCACAATAACCCTGCAAAAAGCGTTATTCCATGTAGCCCCATTTATGCAAAAAGACCCAGAGAAATTCAATAAATTACTTATTCAAGCAAAATGTAAAGCGTTTTCCCCGTATTACTTTTTTAATTAGGAGCTGGTCTCCCTACTCCCACCTCAAGTCTACTGTATCTCCCCAACCTGGTCCTATCTTCTTCATGGCATGAATCATGGAAAGAATGGAAAAGTCACTTCATGTAACTTTCACTTAAAGTAATTCCAAGTTACTCTTGTCAGCCTTCTGGAAATTTCCCTTCTCCACGTTCTGACCTTCTGTAGAACTGTCACCACATCACCCTCTGCCACTGGCCCATTCCCACCCCTCCCATTAAACTGTTCTACTAAAGAGCACAACAATCTTATAATCCAATGAAACAATGTCTTTCAAGCACTCACCCCACTTTACAATCTGTCTAATGATCATCATTTCTAAGGTCCTATACCTCTCACTCACTATTTCAATCTCAGGGTTTTTTTTTTCACTTTCGCCTAACCCTTAAAAGAGGGGATGAAAAGGAGCATGTAATTGCATGCCTAATATAAATAAGTGGAGTTAAGCAAATAACTCATTACACTGAATTAAAAAGACTTCTTCAAGTGTCTAAACTCTACTGGCAGTTTGTTTTCTTAAGAAATCTCACCCTTCCCACAACTTCAATCAGTACCACTACACGGGTGATTCCTACATTTGCATCTATAGCCTTGAACAACTACAATCCCCGGTAAATCCCAACAATGTGTGTTTGTCTCCCTTTTCTAACAAACTGAAAATGGCTTAAAAGTAAATACATTTTATGCCCACTACTGCCCGCCACCATCCTCTACAACACACGCGCGCGCACACACACACACAGAGTCTTCTTTGTTCCCCGTTTCTAGTTTCCTGCATGACTGGTTACCCTCTACGCAAGCCTGACTTACACAGTCTAATTCCGTCACATCCCCCCTTGTCCTCACAGCTTGCATCCATTCAGTAGCACAACCCTACTTATTCTAACATTACTGCCTCTCAAATCCATCTCCTCCTTTCAACACTGGAGATAAATTTACATGGAACCCAAATTTTCACTCAGTCCCAACTGCAATCAACGCGTCAGTACAACCCTTCATGTCTCGAATTCACTTCCTCTACTGACATCAGAGCTACTGTGCCAAAACACGTAACCCGTCAGGTCACCTCAGACCTGGAGGAAAAAGGCCAACTGCCAATGCACAGCTTCCAGAGCTGCCTAACACCATCTATCCCCAGTGTGCACCTTCTAGCTTTGTCTCCTTAAACACTTTCTACCTACCCCTCTCCCTTCGCTCTGGAAAATGTTAAAAGTTGCCATTCTTGAGTACCTGTGTGTCACCCTATATGTGACCTGATCATGCTTTATCCTTAAATTAGAATTATAATTCTTTCAAACATGAACGTTGAAATTGTAGTGACTCTTAAGGCTCCATGTGAATTATGCTCCAGTGTAATACAAATCAGTTGCACACCTGAACGTCTATGACACTAGGCTTATAAGTTCTTGTGGGTATACAGCCTTATTCATTTCTGTATTACATACAAGCACCTAGCCAAAAAACAAAACAAAACAGACAAACAAAAAAAATCCCCTCAAAACCTTTTCAAAAATGAGGCTGCACAGTAAAATGATTTAAACAATTGTAAAACTTAAGAAATGCATCCTTAACTGATTTGATTTCTAAAATACATACTTTTAGTTTCAGGAAACACTTATATATTAAGAGAAATACTGAATAGTTCTTAATCATTAAGAAAGCATATAGGAACAACTAAGGCAAGAAGCACTTATGAGGAGTCTGTTTTATTCAAATGTAAATCCTATGTTTAGTCTAGGAAAAATCAAGGTAAATTTATGTTTATAGGATAAAATGAAACTAAAATATTTTAATTATGTGCATTATAGAATTTTTCATGTATACACCAAATTGGTAGTAAAGATAACATTAAATTATTTGCACATTTCAGCACTTACAATGAAAACAGTGTATGAGTGTATAAAAACATCATTATTCAACTCTGTACAGAATCATGAAGCAGCGACAACAGGATACATAGAAATGACCCAATGCTCAAATTATCAACACGCACCGCCACAGGACTACTCCAAGCTCCTGCCTACAGGAAAATGCCAAATCTGCAACACTATCTCCTTCCCTACTCCCACAAACTTTGATTCTAAGCTATCAGATTGCAGCTCTCCAGAAAGAAGGAGAAAGTAAAGCTTTCAACTTATTTTATAATGAGTTCCAAGCAGGTAGAAGAAAATGAGCCAAAGAACATAGGCTAATTTTCACAGAAACAGGAACGTCACAGTCAACAGCGGTAGAAAGGCTGGTGGTTTACTCTGAAAGGCTGTTCTGAGGACATATACTGTGTGTGGCAAAGTACACAGTGAAGACAGATGTGGCCCCAGCCTCCAAGGAGCTCGCAATAAAAAGGAAAACTACAATTACCCAAACGGGCACTCATATTTGCACCACCTGCTACTGATGAAAAGCACGGGGACAGCTGTTAAGGTGGCGATTTGTTCATCACTGAGGAGCGACAGTGAAACTGAGACCAGATGAATGAGTCCAAGGCAGCCAGGGGAGTGGCAGCAGTTCTCCAAACATTTTTGCAGGAAAGACTGAGTGACAGTGAGCTAGGACTGAGACAGGGGAAGGGAAGAATGCAGGCACTGTTAAAACTGGCACTGCCAATAAAGCGAGCAAAAAGCATTCTGGTCATGAAGTGAATCATAGATTTCCAGAGGATACCAGGTGTGTAACTGAGATAAGTTCAGAGATGAGTATTTTTCCATCATTACAAAAGAGGACTTTTCCCGTCAGTTTGTATACACTGCTGTTAAGGGACGGGGCTGAATTTCACATTAGTGAACACACTGCAGAACCATACTTACGACACTTTTCTAGAGGCGACGTACCCTGGCTGTGTAAGGGCAGCAGCTGCGGTGCAGGGGGAGGCGGTGGCTGTGGTAATGGGGCTGGCTGCGTGGTTGCAGGACTAAGCACAGCGGTAAACAAGTCCTCAACATCCTTTCCTCCAAGCTCTACGAGAGAAAATTGTAATGACCACAAGAGCAAAAGACTGTTAGAGCCATAGCATAGGCAATGCCATTTTCATAAACTAAAAAATCAGAACACAAATACCTGGAATTTTATATAACTTTCCAAGAATTGCTCCTAGGATAAAAAAAGAAATGGAAACATTAACAATTACCATCTCAATATACGCAAACAAAATTGCATTTGACATAGAAATGATCAGAATAGAAGTTAAATTATAAGTAAGCATGCAGAAATCTTTGAAAATCATATTTACTCATGTCTTTTAGAAAGCCTAGATGTAGGGCAAATATTTTACCATCTGTGACCATTTTGTCTAGTTCAGGACTGAGGATTCCATCTAGCTGCTCCTCACTCAACGGTCGGGAACTCTGAGTGACACTCGGCTGGGGCAACGAGGAAGGATCATCAGCGACAGGACCGATATCCATTCCAGCTAGAGGAGCAAGGCACAGTGATAAAACGTGAGTTCTGAATACTCATGACACTACACACCTGCATTAATGCACAACACAGGATCAAAATACGCAACAAAAAGCCTGTAATTCTGAACTAATCTGGATTCTTGTATCCATCCGGATAGTCAATCAGTAAAAATCAGGCACAATGTATCTGTAAACTTAGGTCCCCCTTAAAGTTATATTTTAATCAAAGCAAATACATTTCCTGAGGAACAAAAGAGCACATCTGGTTCTAAATTGCTAATTTCCACACGAAAAACTAAGCATCATATTATTAAGACAGGAATCTCCAAGAATCAATACACAATGTTCAACATACAAGTAACGGCTTTAACTTGGAAAACTGATTTCAAATGCATGGTCCAACTATCACATGCAGTTTGTGAAACAATTAAATTTCACACAAATTAATGGAAAGTGCTAAAATTGTTAATTAATGCTTAGTAAAAATTATCCTTTTGTGAATAATTTCTACTACAGATCGTATTTTTGAAATATTCTGTACTCACAAATGAGATACAGATTATATTTAAAACAGGCTTTATCTCATATAAACTGGTTTTTAGGCAAAAGTCACATTTAAACATGGTCTACCATCTACTTTCTTTAACATGCTTTCTCAATATTATCCAAAAGTAAAACTTCGTCTGCTCTTATCTGAACTCTAGAACACTTGGGTAATACTACAAGTTACATATTAACAAAAATAAGACCATTCATTCGTTCAAAATAAAAAAGAACACTACAGAGAAAGTCATCCAAAGCACAGTACAGTTGTACCATGCTTTAGCCGCACACACAGAGGGAAAAGCAAGGTATGGATTAGTGACAAATTAGCACTATAAAACAAATACACATGCACCTACAGGTTGTTTCAGCTGAAATCACTATGGGGGGGAAAAAGACTACTTCTAGTCAGCCGTCATCCATTGCTCAATTTCTTACCAAATGGAAAAGGTGAGCTCTCAACCTGGAAAGTGCATAAATCAAGACCTACAAGACCCAAACCAAATAAAATGGATGATTACCACATGAGCGGGAGTGAGGGGCAATGCAAACAAAAGAAGAAATAAGATACAGCAGGACTCAAGGCAACAAGCCTTCAACCGGATGCAATTAGAAAGACAACGGAAATTAACTAACTTGCTAACTTGCTATTTCTCTATTAAACAGGAAGGCCAAGGTAGATCAAATAAAATGATGAGTTCTTTGACAATGCCAAAAAAAAAAAATTTCTTTTTTCCAGTTTCAGAGAAAAAGACTAAGCTTGTTTCACACACATAAACCTCTCACATCACAAAACAGACACTAGGCAAATAGCATTCATATATACCTGAATGATCAACTGATTTTGCAAGGTCATCTGAAATTATTCCAAGAATGTCCTCATCTGTGTTTAAGACTTCAGAAATATCAGCTAAGGGGTCATCAGCAGTACCTGAGCACAGTGAGTAAAAATACTTAGTGAGTCTATTTTCCTAGCCAGTAAGTTCTAAAACGCTCTCACTCATCTAACCGTTTACTAAATACTTTTAAGAGTATAGCAGGTGCTGAGGGAGGTATCAGAATTATAAAAAGATTATTACTTCTAAACCAAGGAATTTTTCATAGAGAAGGCAGTCAACTTTTTGAATAAGAAAACATTAAAAATTAATACTGTTTTGGTTTTGTGGCTGCCATATATTAACAATAAAGTAAAATTTAATATAAAAACCTACAATAAAGGTAATAACATAAACAACATCGGGGAGAGGGGCATCAAGCCTTACATGGTCAAAAATCTGAATGTAACTTACAGTGAGCCCTCCCCATCCCCATTTCCACGTCTGCAGAGTCAACCAACCATGGACTGCTTAGGAATGCTGTACACATTTAGTGAAAAAAATCCTCATGTAAGAGGGCATTTGCTGTTCAAGGGTCAACCGGGTAACGGAAGTCGTTGGAGGGTTGACGCCTAGGAGAGGATGTGACTGCTATCTGCCACGTGCAGAACAGATTGGTGGAGAGGGGTAAGGAGTACAGGCAGGACTGCAGATGGGTCAGTCAGCAGGCTAGCTGGGAAGGGGGTGCTAGCTGGGAGGGGTGCTAGCTGGGAAGGGGGTGCTAGCTGGGAGGGGTGCTAGCTGGAGGGTGCTAGCTGGGAGGGGTGCTAGCTGGGAAGGGTGCTAGCTGGAGGGGTGCTAGCTGGCACTGCAGTGGCAGCAGTGGTTGGTCTGGAATATCACTGGAAGACAGCGACAAATTTGTGGATGTATCAGATGTGGAATGTGAGATATTGAAGGGTCAAGGAGAACTCCAAGGTTTTCTGGTCTGATCAGGTAGGAAGATACTTAAACAATCTTTAGTAATTATATTAGTCATTGAAGTTAAGGACCATTTGAAATTTCTAATCCATTTTGACTGTATTTTTACTTAAGAAAAGAGAGAGAAGAGGAGGACATAAAATTCATACTCTAGATTCTAGATCAAATATTGCTGTGAAACACAAATAGTCTGTCCCATTAAACATATACTTCTCAAACAGAATTTATACACGCATAAAAACACTACAATTTTTCAAACTGAAAGCTAACCTGAGTTTTGCATGTCCAAATATTTGTAAAGTTTTTATGAAATGAAATTATTTCAATAATGTACTCTCTAGACAACAGTGCAGTTGAAATTTTAAAATCCTGGGTAATTCCTTGTGTGTGTACTTGTGTGTTTTAAAGCAATGGAATCCTACTAATCAAATTATAACCAACATTTTATTAAGACCATGTTCTAAAAGTTTACCCCTACCAGAAGAGATTTTGTATCTTATCAGTAAGTCACTAAAATTGATATAATGGACTACACTGGATAAAATGTGTTTAAAAAAAAAACAGCTGTTACTTTAAAATTCCCCATTATAAAGGCAAAGGAGTGGTTCAGCTACACAGAACATTACATTTAACCTAGGTTTTGAAATGGGTGTTATTTCATCCTCTTGTTTTTCCTTTATCATTAAAAAGTCTTCCTTTAGAAGTTTTGTGGAAAAAAACTTCAAATTAAAAAAAAATAGCATATATTGTCTTTCCTGTCACAATATATCTTCTTTACAACTTCAGTTCTCTTCCTTAGAAAAACTCAAGTGCAATTAATTAACTTCTATATAAGTCTTTAATGGCTAGTCAAGATTTTTATAAGACATTCTTCATAGCAAGATACCCTTTGAAGGACTGAGAAGTCCTTCACTATGCATTATTTTAACAGCATATTGATGTGGATGAGAGCAGGTAAGTACTTAAAACAGAACTGAAGTGAAAATATTGCTAACATTAAACAAACAAAAAGCATGGCCTTTAGTCCCATGCTTCAATTTCCTCTCTCTTATAAGCACAGCCACATGCATGCATATAATGGGGGTATTTTTGCTTCTAATTATTTCAAGAAGTTAAAATAAAAAATAAAAGCCTGTATTTCAATCCAGGATAATGCCAATTTAATGATGCTATAACTACTTAATATATCAAAAGTCATCTTTCAGTGGAAGGCTGCCTTAAGATTATTTTCCAAACTGAGTTTATAAAATTGAGTAACCACTGCAATTCAATGGCAAAAAGGAAGCTAGTCAAAAGAACATTAAACTTATAATTAAAAGTAAGATAAAAATACAAAGGGGGGGGGTATCCTGTGACGACAGCTTTTAGATACCAAACTAGTTAAACGGTGAGAGCCTTGCTGACGTTACCATTACGTTACAAACACTAAGCTCTCATACCTTTCTCTGATCCTAAGTAGTCCCACAGTCACTGTATCTCGGGAGTGGTTCTCAATACAGGGCAGTTTTGCAGGGGATATGTGAGACATTTTTGATCATCATGATGTCATGAGGACAGAGATGCTGCTAAATAACCTGCAGTGCACCAGACACCCCCCTCCTCCAACAGAGGTTTACTGGCCCAACCCATCAGTATTGAGAACTGACCTAAAGCAGTGTCACACTTTATCAACACAGTCTATCAGCCTGTTCCCAACTACAGGACTCTTTTTCCCTTTTTTGAATTTCTTTGGACTATGTAATTAACAAAAATCTACCTTAAGTTCAAGACTATTAATATTTATAACTCACCAACTATGGCTAATTACACTCCCTTATGTTACCTTCAGCAAACTGTAAACTGAACACTTTCCTCTGCAACTCATCAGAGTTGATTCGGTAGTAGTTACACAGATAAATTTACTTGCCAAATCTTACAGACCGTTTCACTTAAAATAGTTGCATTTGCTGAATGCAAGCTACACTTCAAAAGCTGATTCTTAAAATGCATATGAGGCCTAAGTAAATCATTTCAAAGGTTTAATTAAAAGGAAGATGAATATCATGTGATAAAGGAAACATCTGTGATTTACTGCACATACCGTGAGTTCCAGGTTTTGCTGGAGTTGAGGATGAACTAAGTAGTGGATCTAAGGAAGCATCCAAGAAATTTGTGTTCATGTTTGTTTTATATGAAAGTTGAGCTGTATCTTCTGATAGATTATCTAAGCTTAGCTTGTTTTGTCTACTTGTATCTAGAAGATCTTTTCCAAAGAAAGCTTCCTAGACAAAGATAAGCACATATGAAAACGACTGACTGTTATACAATTCTAAAATGCCAACAGATAATTGTGCAATCATTTTGACAAGAAGGCAGAAATAACAGAAAAGCTTAGTACTTAACAATATCGAAGTTGAACACAGAAATAAGCAATATAAACAACATAGAAATACCCTGTCAATACTTTTATACAGACTCTCCTTATTTTCAAAGATTTTTAAAGTTTTACTATAAACAAATAAAATTATGCAACTACAACCACACAATTCTGCAAAATGTGTTTCTAGCAACTATAGTATGATTTAATTCCAGATCACACTACAAATAAATTAAAAAAATGATAGCTTTACAATACTGTGGCACCTTAATTCATATTATGAGAAAAACTGAAGCTTCATGAATACTGTGGATATTTACAGACCATGTGCAGAGGGTAGCACAGAGTTTGACCTACAGCTTTAACATTTCTACACTTCATGTAGAGTTAGTGATCTCACACTGATTCATGTTGCAACATTAAAGACATCACATGCTATAAATCTGAAAGGGTTTTTTATAGTCATTTTAACCACAAACTGTACGTACAAAATCTACTGCTATTAAAGGCTTTTGGCTTTTTGTTTGAACTTTCCTCCATTTCAATCTACCTTCTCCACTGTAGGGATCGCTGTGTCACGCTGGGCTCCTTACAACTCTAGGATCTTTCCCAGGGAAGCCCTGGGGACACCCTTCACTTACTTCAACCCCAAAACTCTGCTCTAATCTATTTTTTTTGTGATGTGGTCTGTCTGGAAAAGGAATCCTTGGTAGAGGGCAATTCTGCAGTAACCACCAACATTTAATATAGTATTGCTAAATATACATACACAAAAAAGGTTCGCTGCAGCATTTTTTTTAATAATACCAGAAAGTGAAAACAGCCTCAATGTCTGTCAAAAAGCTTATGACTAAATGAACACCCAGACTACAAAACACATCATTTTTTTAAAAAGGACGTAGAACCATGCTCTAAAAGAAAAGCTTTAAAATATAGTAATAAAGAAAGTTGAGTGATATGTCCAGTAAAACATAAAATACAAACCAAGACTATTATGACTATGCAAAAATAAATTATTTAAAAAGTTCTGAGAGGATAAAGTGTGAGCTGTTCACTTTTGAAAAGGGATAAAGGAGGAGGTATGTGAAGTCCGGTAGAGGAGATGAGTATTTGATTTGAAATTTTTCACATTTTTTTAATGAACAAGTTATTTCACTATGAAAAAGGAATATGAAAATTCACAAAGATAAATCACTGGACAGAAGGCAATTTATTTCTTATACCAGGAATGTTTTTATCATTAGGAAAAATGCTAAATAAAAGAAAGCATCTTAGAACTTTACAGATCATTTATTCAATGCCTTCAGTATAAATCTGAGACCACCATTAGCAAGTTTTTTCTTTATGTGACTCATGATGACTTCAGTGGTATTTATCAAACACTGTATCATTCTTATTAATTTGGTAGCTTTTTATTTCATGCAGTTAACATAAGGGTGTGGCTCCACATGGTTTCTAACTTGATATTCAGTGATGCCCAGAACCTGGAGACTTTGGATCTACTACAGAGGTTCCTACGGCCATGCAGCACCACCAGCTCTGAGTAGACCACGTAAATATTTTCACCAGGCAGATAATACAATTATTTATAGTTTATCTTGGCACTGTTATGATTAATAAAGAAAAACTAGAAAAATTGTAATTCCTAATGGGTTTTTATCACTATATATTCCCAATTTTTTGGTGAAAAGTCATACGATGTCCAAGAAACAGAACCACTACAAAAGCTTTCTTTACATCAAAAAAAGCTATATATTACTGATGTACACCAGGGGAATTACACCTTCACACCACAAGAAACAATCCAGCTCAAAAGATTAAGATTACAACAGTAATCAGGGAATTAGATATACTATTTTTAAAGGCTTTTTGGACAAAGTATGAAATGGTCAGTTTTCATACTTTCATTCAAAAACTAAGGAAAGCTTCCTAAATACAGATTACACTTTACAGAAGGATCAGCAGGAAGAGGAGGAGGGTGTGTCATCTACTCAGTTCTCCCAGGAAGGACTATTAAGGGGGGAGGTGAAGGGAACAGGAGACACCACCACAAAGGATGCAACTGAAGATAATCTGAACAGTAAATGGGTCTATTTCCTGAACAATAAAATTGCTGTCATGTATTTTTTAAGGGTACAAAGCTGTAATGAAGGGGTATCTGATGGGATTAAGAGGAAAATAAAACATTTATTAAAGATAGGAAAAAAAGTAAGGCACAGAGTTAAGCACTTTATATACATAATCCTTAATCTCTCAACTTTTCTGTGCAGCAGGTATCACCACAGTTTTATAAATGAGAAAACCGAGGCACACAGATATTAAATAGAACAAGAACACACATCTGTCTGGTAGCAGAGTGGTGTTTCAAAACCAGGACGCTGATTTTAAAGACCCATCTTCATTCAGTGAACACAGTTACTGTAACCTGTCTTGGCAGAGGGGGCTTCCACCAGACTTGGGTTAGGGGAGCACGTAAGTGTGACTGCCTTGAAGGAAGGAGCTTTCTCAACGCTAACAGCCCTCGTCTATCTTATGAAATATTTAGGAGTGAAAAACTGGGATAAAAAAGAACTTCGTGAAAGGTATCAAAGCACAAGAAAAGGTCAATGTAACTTTTAGGGGCCCCTGTAAGGTAAAAATGGGATTTATGATCACTAATTAAAAACAAAACAAAGAAAACATGTACAAAAACAACAAAATGGGTTGTCAAAACTCAAAACATCACTTTACATTTCTCTCATTAATAAATACATAATATAAAGTAAAATATTACTTGTAAATAGGCAGGGAAAATTTCTTCAAGTTTATTTTTCCTTTTTCGGTATCTCTTCTTTATTTTTTCAGTGTTTTCAGTAACAGAAACAGATTCATCAACTAGCGTGTCTGGCAGCTGCTCACTCCAGCCTGAAACAACAGGCATACTCATAAACACGCGGTTCTTAGCTTTTCAGGTAAACCCACCAACGGCAATTTCACAGCTGACCAACAGCACACAGTTCCACAGAGCCAAATGAACAAACAAGTTTTTTCTTTTCTTTCAGTTTTGAGATGTAATATACAACAAAACATAAGTTTAAGGTATACAGCATAATGACTTGACCAACATGATTTTCCACAAAAAGATTTCAATGCAAGTTTTAGCAAGTTTTAAATACCATAAAAACTTTTCATTTCATATCACTATCAGCATGTTTCCTACTGTTTCTTAGCATTTCCTTACTCGCAAGGCAGAAACTTGGTTGTTCTGTTTTTAAAGTCAGTATTTTGTTAAAGATTGAAAAAAGAAATACACACTCACTAATGAGTACGGAGAAATGGGTACTCATACGCTACTAATGGGAATCTAGCAGGTACAATCCTTTTGTAGAGTTTATTGTGAATATCCAACAAAAGACTTTTTAAAACTGTGTGTCCTTCAATCCAGCAATCCCAAGTTCAGGGATTTACTGCCAATTAGTTATCTGTAGTATACACATGCTGATAAAATATGACTATCTATGAATATGCTCATAAATACGCTAATCTTAAAATCACAGAATGCAAAAATCCAAAATGGTGGACTATGAAATTAGCAAAGAAACAAGTACACCACTTAAAGCAGGTAAACGAGGAACCAAATGATACTCTCATGTACTTCTTAAGGCAAATGGCGCATTCCTTCTGAAAATGCATGTAGGCCCTTTCACTGCCAGACTACATAGGTGGACTGACTCTTCTGAAAAAACCACTAAATATAGTGGATTAACATTTTTGAAACAACTTTTAAAAATATACTAGTAATCTAGCCAGAAAATAATTCTCCAAGACCAAAAATTACGGTAAAACAGGAGCCACAAAAATAAGCAAAGAACCAAATAAAGCTCTGTGAAATTTTGCTAAAATCTAGTGACACTGAACTCTAGTTTTCAGAACCTTAGGAGCAAAGGGGAACAGAAGACAAAGACCACAGCCGCTTCCCGAGGTGGAGAGATTAACCAGAGGTGCCTGGCATACAGGTGGGACCCTGAAGGACTCCACACCGAGGGTTGATTTAATGAGATACACACACATCCCCTCCAGTTCCCCTGGTCCTCCACGCATCACTCACCTCCACTTCCCTCTCCCCCCAACCAACAGCAAATAAAACTGCTTGTCATCTCATCACGGAATACAGTGCTGTGTAGAAAGGCAAAAAAACTAAAATCTTCCCCGAGAGTTTACAAACTCATATAAGCCCTGATGCATAAGAAGTCTGAATTTATATAATGTAGGTGGACCAAAAAAACTTCAAGCTAAGAATTTAGCTTAAAGGAGTCCTAGGGTAGCAGCATCTAACGTTCCTGCCAGCAACAAATGGGAATACTCTCTGAAGGAACCCACCTTTAATTCGGTCCTCAAGAAAAAAGTTAAGAGAATATTCTAAAGAATATGGCCTGTCATAGTTAAAAAACAAACTTGTTTGTTTTGTTTTGTTTAATATATATGTCTCTGTCTCACACAATAAACACAATGAAATGAGGCACCAGGAGACGGGGCCAGGAGAAACACAGTAGAATCAGGTGTGCAAAGGCTTTAGAAACTTCATGTTTTATATCAATTAGATACATGAAGAAATAAATGACTGAAACAAAAAGGAATAAGCTGTAAAAAGAAATTACAAAGTGTTTAAATATCAAAAAGGTAGTTTAGAAAAGAAAACAATGCATATTAAATATACATTAAATGACTGGATGACACAAATGAAGAAAAAATAATGAACTAAATGATAAAACTAAAAATATTTAGAGGACAGAACAAAGACGGAGATGGAAAACATGAGAAAGTTTCATTGAACATATCACATTTCTTAACTGGGGCTTATTATAGCCTTGTTAAGTCCTATTAGAAACTTCTTTAAAACCACCATGGCACTAGCTCTTAAAAAGGTGCAGCAATATGTTTTAGAAGTTCACAGGCCAAAACCCATCACACAATAATGCAAGAACTCTGTTACTGACTAAAGTCTTCATTAGAACCAGTTAAGCTATGGCTTAAGCAATGATTGAGCTTTCTTTGAAACTCTAAGTAAGGATGACATACTAAAAATATTTATTGGAGTACCCTGTCATTTTCAACTAAACAACCCCAAAATTTCTGATTTTATGCCAAGTAGCTAAGGCAGGGAAAGAAAGCCCTTTTATGAATGACCACGAGGCACCAGATTTAACTAACTGATTCAGTCCCTAAACTGTTTACATGTAACAAAGGAAAAAAATTGCTAAAAAATCTCAAAGCAATACAGTCTACTGGATTTAAATAAATTCTTTATCAAACTTAACTTCTCTACTGCAGGCATGAACAGTATAGGCACTCAAATCTTTTGATCAACAAGAAACAATAAAACTGTAACTGTAGCAACTATTTAGGATAGCTCTTTTCAATAGGGAATATCAAGACAAAGGGGTTAAATCAAGCAGAATCAGCACCATACCATCATCTCTGCTAGTTAACTGCTCAGAAACGGAGCCTGAGGAATCCTTTCTGATCACAGATCTTTTGGTTTTCCCTTGTCCAGTTCGACTTCTTTGCCGCACCATAAATCCACCAATACCTACCCAAAAGAGAAATTAGATAATCCTATAAATAACAAATTTCTCCTTGTGTTTCCACAGTAAGTAGGGTGGTATTGCTTAAATAGTGAGGCATTTCCCAAATTCAATATAGGCCACTTTAAATCAATCACCTTGTTTTAATGCAAAATACAAGAGTTTGGAAATAAGCAAGTAAAAGAGGTCAAAGCTACTGTTAGCTTATAACTAACAAACAGGATTAAAAATTTATTCAAGTACAGAAGACTGCATGTATTTATTTCCTCTCCTAAGCAATGTCAGAGCAAATGTTACAGTAAATTATGCTTGTTTACTTAATGCCAGCAACTCGTTATCATCATTCAAGCTATTTGTGCATTAGTTGAGGGAGAACAGATACAAGATACACACTAAACCAGATAATCCAAGTAAAATCAACATGACTTTGGGGGTAATGTGTCTAGTCACTCCCAGATAACACCCTCAGACATGAGCCACAGACAGACAGCTCTGTAGTAGGAGCACGGAATCTGCGGCCAGTGTAACACTGGTTACCAGTCAATAGTGGGCAAGTTATTTCACTTTTCATTGCTTCAGTTCCCTCACTGGGGAAATACAGATAATGTATAGCACCTGCTCATACACATGTTACAAGCATTAGATAAATTAATTCATGTGAAGAGCTGAGAATAGTGCCTGACACATAGTAACACAAACAGCTTTTGTCACAGGATACAGAGTCTAACAATATACTTTGTGACCTAATGGGCCCCTCAAATGGGTCTCTTATATGGATGACTTCAGTTAAGGCAGAAAAAGAAGGGGAGGGAAGGGGGGAAGAAAGAAAAAAGAAAAACCCAACATTAAATGTAAGTTCCTAAAAGGAATTTGGCAGAGCCTAAGAAAGTGCATTTATAAGTCTCAGAATTAAGAAGAAATGAAATCATTTTCATGTAACAATCTATAGGCCCTATACATGGCCCATCTGTAAGAAAAGTAACCTTTCAAGGTCTTGCAGAATACAGTTTTTTCCTATACATCAAAAGGTATTTAGACTACTGTTATCAATAAAATATAAGCAATCAGAATAAAGATTGAACTGACTCAATATAATACCTCATTCATTGATAAACAGACATTAATAAATTGCCTAAAGAAAGCCTACAAGTCCTGTCTTTTGCCCATTTCAATAATTTTTCCCAGTAAGGCAAATAAAATTTGGCAAGCAAGAAAGCTTCTCTCTCTCTTCCCAGAGGGAGAGAAAAGAAGAGAGTTTTAATTAGTCACATTATTAACTATGAATTTTGACTATGAATTTTAGGAGGTGTTAAGAACCCATAAACACAGAAATAAGTTTAAGAAACAAAACTATTAGAAACTGAATGCTAAAAATTAAAAGAATTATGAAAGTACACACCAAGGAAAAATACAACAACAGCTTTAAAAGTCCAAGTATAATTAAAAGCACATCTAGCAAACCATCAAATAAAATGGGTAATATTCAGGATAAGCATTAAAATGACTGATTGTGATTGTGAATTTTTCACATAAAAAGCATATTCAAACAGTTCAGTTCTTTCATCTATACATACAAGTTTTAGTTTAGAGAGTTATTAAGAAATTATATTTCATCCTGATTATTTCATTATCACTGAAGCCCTCAATGTTATATTTTTCTTGAATTAACTGAGTTTTGATTATACTAAAATGTCTAGCTTAGGCACCAGACCTGGTCTGTATGGTTTCCTTTTTCTCTTTTTGACACCCTCTGTTCCTTCTGCTCCCTTGGTTTCATCATCCACAGCTTCCCGTTCAGGACTGGATTCTGATTTTCCATCACAATCCATAAGTTCCCCTTCTGGAAAAAAGTACACATACAGACAAAAGTTGGAAAAAACTATCAAATACACAATTTCTACATAATAGGCAATACAAAGCAAAGTGGCTGCTGAGCCGTTCTAATCATGCATCCGCGCTGATAGGGAAAATACAGAAAGAGAAGGAAAAGGCCCCAAATGGCTGTAAAACTCATGCTACTTAATGTGTTGTTCTCAGGAAATGAAATGTATATGAATCAGAGAAAGGAAAACACACAGAGAACACTCAAAAAAGACAATTATAAATCAATCAGCACTTAACATATCATTCCCCTGCTTTAATTATGTGTTCAGGTCCAGGATCCAAGGCTGTCTCTCTAGCCTACAACTCTCTTGAGCCCCAACTATATCTGTAAGTGGATATTACCTAGTTACTGAAAACTACGTACAAAATTGAACTACTAACTTATGATAAACCTTCTCCCTTTTCTGGGTTTAACCTACCATCATTAAAAGCAAGGAAATGTGCACTGCAGAAGCCAGAATCCTGGGGTACAGCCTTGAAATTCCTAATTTCTTTTCTCTTATAATCAAAACTCCTTAATAGCCCTCAAAAACATTTTATTTCTTTTTACTACCATCTGGGTCTGACTGTGATTTACTGCAATGCCCTCCTCTCCTACCTAGCTTCCCTGACTCCAAGTTTACCTTCCTCTCAAATCAGTTCTTTAAATTGCAGCCTAAATGACCTTTCCATAAATATGCATCAACTGTCTGCCTAAGAATCCTTTGTCTTCCCAGTGGTCTCAAAATGAAGTTCAAATTGCAAGGCCATTATAATAGTCTCTTGTGAACTCTCCTGCCTCACCTCACTCCAATATTGCCAGGCATGCTCAGGTCCTCAAACACATCAAGCTCTTTCTTCCACTACCTCTCCAACCTCCACTTTCCATCTGCCCATCTTTCAAGATTCATTGTAACTGTCACTGTCTTAGAGAATCCTGGTATTCAGACAAGGTTACCTTCCACAGTTACATGCTCCTGTACGGTATCATCATGCTTCATCTTAATTGTTCTTTTAACGTCCATTTCCTTGCTAGACTATATTCTCCTTAAAAATAGGTATCAAGACTCTTATTAACAGCTGCATCCCTCAGCTTGGTGCGTAATAGGGTGTTCAATAAATATGTCACTGATGTAATCTCATCAATTCCTTCCTCCTAGACATACACAGTAGTTCTTCACGAGCCCCAAGTCACTTACAACGTCAAAATGAACTTCTGTTCAGTGATACTGGAAAATGGGCTTTATGTAAGAATCAGAAGCGTTTTCTCCCAACCACACAGACCTGAAAGCACACTACTACAAAAGAAATGAGGATTAGCTGATAATCTACCAGGAATACACAAGAGACAGGCCCACTCTGAGACATCACCTCTCACCCAGACAAATGCAACAGCCTCCTAACAGAAGTACGTGCCGCAACCGTTGGGCTTAGAAGCCTGTTCACATTGCGGCAGTGCCGCTCCAGCCAGGGCCTTCGCACCGGCGTCCGCTGTCTGCGATGCTCTCCCCTCAGATGGTCGAGAGGCTTGATCACAGCCTTCAAGTCTGCTCAAATACGGCTTTTGGCTCCTCTGCTCCCTCACACCACTGTACGCATTCCCGCTTACTCTATTTTTCCACAGCACTCACCAAACACATTTTTATTAATTACTACATTCTATATGTTTCATAGTCTTTTCTCAAACACTAAATTGTAAGTTCCATGAGCAGAGAATTGTATCTGTTTTGTTCACTCATATGACTTCCAACATCTGGCACACACACAGCAGGCGTTCAACATATGTTGTTCAGTGTTAAGATGTGATGAAACAGAAGTAATTATTATTTTATTTCTGAATCAGCTGAAGAGAAATAACCACCCTAAAAATAAGGAAGCCCATAGTGATTTTCTTCAGAGATAAGCAAAAATAAAACTCATACTAAATCTAATGCCACTAAAATTATTTCTTCATTTCAACTAGAAGAAACTTGATATGTATTCTGACCAAAAAAAGTCTATAAACAGATGGTTTACAATGAACATCTGTGAATATGAGCTGATACTTGAAGATGAATGACGGCTCTTCCTTTTACAGAATGCATGGATGGAGTTACTCTTTAACTTAACCACAGAAACCAAGCTCACAGCACCTGTGGAGGTTTACGCAGCTACCTAGCAAACTCTGACTTCTCCCATCTGTGATCCTCAAAAACATGGTGCTCCGGGGAGTCTGTGTAACACACATCTGCTCTAAGAGGGTATGTGAAAGGAAGAGAACCTGAAAAGGCAGGACCTAAGAACACTACTCACTTAGAAAGGACAGAGGCACACCAGGGGGGTTATCCAAGCCAGCAGAATTCACTCTTACATAAATCACATATGTTTTAAAAACTACTTTATATGCTCTAACTTTTGCAAACATAGTCCATGGAAAATATGTAAGTATTACCTCGACTGTCATCCATTTCACCATCCCTTGAATGCTCTGACTGGATATCTGGAGGGGTCTGAAGGACAGCCACGCTGTTCTGATTTATGATCTTCAATTTCAGCTTTGGTTTTGACCGTTTTCTTCTTGGAACTGTCACTGTGAGGCTCTGTAACTGAGTCATCCCTGATTCGGTCAAACACACACCATCCTGGGTGTAGGTCTTGGGTGGATCTAAAATTATAACATCCCAGGATACAAAATAAAACTCTCACTTTACTTGATTCATCAGTTGATTATTATTCCATAAAACCATGTCAAGGGAATGTGACTTCTATAAACCAATTACCTATAAAAAGCATGAATAATTAACAGTACTCAAAACTAAGAATAATTGGCCAAACTTCCTTGAATTACAGGTAGAAACGTTGTGAGGTTTTTTTTTAAATAGTCTTCGTGGCACTTCTATTTTCATGTATCAATACAAGTATTTAGAAGGAAAGCACTGAAGCTAAAAGCAATGCTTCAGCTACCGGACTTCTCCTAGAGCATCTGTTTCAGACTCCAAGGCAAGGACTGATTTACATATGAGAAGTAAGACTACACCAGAAGCCCTTCTGGAAATCAAAAGTATCAATATAATCACTTACAGGGAGAGGTAATAAATAAGCAGAAATCCTACACATTTTTAAAGATACAAAATTGCTGTTCATTAGAACAATTTCTGTACTATCCAAATGTTTCTGTATAAGATGATATCAAATAGAAGTAGGCAAAAGAAGGATAGTTTAATAAGAATATCATGTAAATCACTATTTTAGGCTGACCTATTACAGAAGTAGTAGTAAGAGAATGAACTAATTCCGAAGAAATCTGTCTGTTAACTAGGTCTTACTGTCTGCTAATTGAACACAATAATATATCAATAAAACTAAAGCAAGCAGAGTTAACTGTTATTTCAAAAGTGGTTATTTTCAGGGGAGGGCACAGCTCAAGTGGTGGAGTGTGCTTAGCATGCATGAAGTCCTGGGCTCAATCCCCAGCACCTCCTCTAAAAATAAATAAATAAAATTATTCACCTCTCCCTCACCAAAAAAAAAAAAAAAAAAAAAAAGGAGGGGTGGGGGTGTTACTTTCATTGTCAATATGCTAAGATTTGTAGGAATACTGTCCCACTAAAGCTGGACAAGTCAGACATTTTATATGCCAATTACAGAAATGATAATCAGCATTAGGGAATGTAGATTGAACACCCACATGGATTATGGCAGGATTCATATAACATGTGGCAAATCAATTATACAAAAACAAAACATCTCTTTGCTTTTTGTAAAGAACAGTCAAAGCATTTCAGATTTTACCTAGTTCTTTCACTTTTGTGACAATTTGTGCTACAAGTGAAGATTCACAGCAGTCTGAGGAAGGCACTGAAATGAAAAAAAAAACATGTAATTTTTTCAGAAAAGGTAAAGTGTATTTAAAGATTTACATCTGATTAAAGTTTCTACTGCTGTACCCATTTTACTGAAATAAATGCTTGAACAATAAATAGAACTAACGGCGTCTTTAAAACAACAACCTAACAATAAGGAGTCATGGTGGAGGAAATACACATGTCATGGAAGAAAAACTGGTAAAGATAAAGGACCAATGTACCGGTTTTCTACACACTGCTATTAACTACAAAATTATGAGTGCTGGAAACACCAATTCCATCTTACAGCAAAAATAATTCTTAGTTTACTTCCTTTATGTAAGTAGGCTGTTTTAATACCTTAAGTTGGGATGATAAGAGTTATAAATTAACAAGAGTAACGTATTTTTCGTAACATACTTGTCCAAATAATAGTTTCACAAAAAGAGAAAAAGAGCTAGCATGAGGCCCACTCACTAGTTAGGCCCAGGAAGCACAATCAGCTGTGTAAGTGCACACACGCATGGCCTGTATTAATATCTTACCATTTGACGTAGGCATATAGGGTCTGCACATGCTACAGTCAAAACCAATATCTGCCACACTTTCCACTTCCTCTTCAGTATTTAAGTTTTGACAAACTGCATGCATCCATCTAAAAAGATCATATTCACACATTACAAAAATATATATATATACTGAAGATGGTTTCCTTTTAAAAACTACAAGGAGTGGACAGCGTCCGTAAAGCCCCTAGTCTCATGGCTCCTCCCACCTAGACCACGCTGCAGCCTTCTCCTAACCATTCCTACTGACCCACAGAAACTGTGAGAGCTGCAAAGAAGAAAAAGGAATGAGAATAAGTACTATGAAGGAAACAAAAGCACATTATATGAGGAAGATGGGGTAACTGCTTTATGATCATATACTGAGTATTTCAGAGACAATGAGGAAGCTAGCTAGGGCGAGAAAGGAACTCAGAAGACTGCCAGTGGTG